AAATCGGACCCAACAACTCAAAAATTGAATAGCAACATATATCTAAAGATTATCACATGTAAAGAATCAAAACCTTGATTTGGAGATGCGAAATCTTGATTAAAACTGAAACCCGTCATTGCAGCCTTCGATTCGGCTTAACCGGAACAAACTGCCCTAAAATTCGAAGATCCCATCTAGCACCTTTCGTCCCGTCCAACGCGATCTGCTTCTCGTTTTTTGGTTTGGGTTTTGCCGCTGTAGATCGCTTTACAGGGAGGGTGGGTGAGTGAGAGAGTTGAGGCCGTTTCGCGTGTTTTGGAAATTTGGGCGTTTTGTGTTAAAATTTTACAAAACAATGTTTTGCTTGTTTTCCATTTTCAGTTATATATTTTTTTTTTTTCATTTTCCAAAATGCATTTTCGAAAATAAGATAGAGAACGCATTTGCATTGTTTTGAGAAATTAAAAACAAAAAATGACTGGAAAACGACAAAGTGAACAGAGCCTAACTTATTTGGGGTTTTCCATCTTCAATCAACATTTTCTATGTTACTGCTTCTAATTTTGTCTTTTTTCCCTTCTAGGCACTTCATATGTGTTTGTGCTTGTTGATCTGTACTTCGAGGACCTTAACATGTTCTTGTAATTCATTTTATCCTTGTTTTGTCTATTTGCATAGAATTCAGCAACCCAATAATCACCTGCTTCATCAATCACAAATAGAAGAGTCATAATTACAATGATTTTACATATTTGATTGCAGCTCTAAATGACACTAACATAAGACCAGGAAAATCAAAGTTAGAATACATTCAATTATAACTTTCCAAATCAAAAAAATAACTTATTTGGGGTTTATCATTTTCAATCAACATTTTCTGTATTACTGCTTCTAATTTTGTCTTTTTTTCCATTCGCACTTTATATTTGTTTGTGCTTGTTGATCTCTCTTTCAAGGCACTTAACATGTAGAGTTTATTCACTTCATAAAAAAAAGGCACTTAACATGTGCTTGTAATTCATTTATCCTTGCTTCGTCTCTTCGCTTAGAATTCAACAACTCAAGAATCATTTACTTCATCAATCACAAATAGGAGAGTCATAATTACAACGAGTTTGTGGATGGGTCAATTTGCTCATTTCGTTTAGAGACGCAATGAGAGAGGTGAATAAACTTGTATGGTGTACGTGGGTGGGATAAAGACAATTTATAACAAAATATGTCAGGGACGTGATTTGTAAAAAGTAGAAACGTTGGAAATATATCTTTCTATTTATAAAAAGTGCCTATATAT